CCAATTCATAATTCAAAACATCTCAATTCGGTTTCCTAGTCCAACATGTTTAGAAGTAACAATGATCATTCATAAATAACAAGCAAATTTTTCAAAACGTTGAGAATAACACTTAACTTCATGATCAACCCAGACAAGTATGCATGCTCATAATAATTTCCAAAACAACATCAATATCATCAATTCCAATTCATAATTCAAAACATCTCAATTCGGTTTCATAATCCAACATGTTTAGAAGTAACAATGATCATTCATAAATAACAAGCAAATCCCATGCAGTCTATTCAGTTTAATGACACAATTCAGTTTCATAATCTAACATGTTTATAAGTCTGATGGAAGGATAACTGATGGAAGGATAACAAATAGTAGAAGCAATAATCATTCATAAATAACAAGCAAATATGATCCCATGCAGTCTATTCAGTTTAATGACTTAAAATCATAATCGCAACATGAACACAAATCATCTAGTATATCTCTCCTATCTTGCTCTATGTGTACACATCTAGCCGTCGGGACACGCCAATTCACGGGGGACTAACCGACGGGACAAGCCCACTCACGGAATGAGGACACTAATCGTCGGGATAAGCCCATTCATGGGAGATACACTCTTGCAGACTAAAGGCTCACACGCATACATTGATTATCAAGTCAGACAATTATAAAGAATAATGAACATGGTAAGGTTTATCACCTGATCAGTCAAGGTAGACGAAATCACAATGATCAACAGAAAGTAGGCAGAGGGCTCGACTCCTCAAACACCTACATTTAATCAAAATAATATTTCAAAATACTTATCTTGATAAGTCGGGAATTTCACAAAAATTCATACTTAGTCGAAATTCGTGAAATTTTTTGGAATTGGGTACTCTCGGATTTAATGACAATACTTGGAAACATATTTCAAAGAGGCGAAAAATAGTCTGACATGAAAAACGAGGTTAATGGTCAGAAAATCGATCAAACGGCTCGGGAAACGGATTTCGAGGTCACCGCGTTGGCACGGGAGCGGACATGTTGTGGGTTGGCTCGTGCGGGGGTGTCGGGTGGTTGCTGGTGGCTCGCCAGGGCTGCTGGGTGCATGGGCTAGCCGCTGGGGTCGTTGGGCAAGAGTTGGTGGTCGCTGGGGTCGTTGGACGGGCGTGCGAGCGCGGGGCTGTACATTGGAACAGGCACACGGGTGCGGGGCTGCATGCTGGCAGCTGCGGACGTCGTCTGGCACACTGCGGGCGTCTGGCGTGGTAGAGGTGCACGCACAAGGCCGTGGGCACTGCTGCGGGTGCTACCGACAACTGGTTCGACAATGTTTCAAGGCACGGTTCAAGGGGGTTCAAGGGGTTAGGGGCCGAATTTTTTTAACTAAAGTATAATTCATCAAATGAAGGTCCCATACACAATTTCAGGTCAAAATCACGTGCCAATTATTTTATAAATTTTTGGAACAAAGGGGTGTCACAATGCTTCAAAAATTTCAAAAGAAATCCTCAATGAAACAAAACTCAATCAGAGCCTCAAAATCAAAACCAAGGCATCAGAGGTTTCCACTTTCCACAAGGTTCCCCACGATAAGGGCGAGATCCAATGAATTCACATGAAAATCAAATAGATCTCCAATTTCAACACTTACAGATCTAAACTCCACATGTTAGATCTTATTAAATCTCATCAAGAGAAACAAAACAAAGGGGTTCAGCCATTATAACGTACTCCACGGAATCTACAGGCTAATCGGATGGATAGGCTTAAAAGGTGCCCTCGGGCGGCTCTCGCTCGGCCTCAGCTGCGGGTGCGCGCGCGAGGATGAGGCTCGGCAAACAGAGGAGCAACGATTGAGGGATTGGCCGTTCGAGCGTGCACAGATGATGGAGGGTTGGTCGTCGTTGTGGCTGTGACTTGCGTGGCTGCTCGCGTGTTAGCGGCGATCGGCGAAGCGCGCGCGGGACGATTGGGCGGGGCTGTGCTCGAGAGAAGGGAAGGGGAGAGATTTTTGGGAGGTGCTCAAGGGATTTTTCCCCAACAAAAATGAGAGATGAGAGAGCTATACGTGGTCTGATATTCCTTGTGAGAGGCGTGTGAAAAATGAGGAGGAAGAAGGGAAATTCCTTAAGTCATGGAGGAAGGAATGAAGGAGATATTATTACCTAATTAAGATGCCAATCAAATACAATTAATGGCTCACTAATGTGGGAATTAGCTCAAATAACCCATTCTACAAACTTATTTGTTTAAATGACCCTCTAGTCAAACACTCATTTAAAATTTATTAAGTAATGATATTAAATATCAACTTACTATTATACCCTTAAGGCCGACAATTATTTTTCCTTTTTTCTTTTCTTTCTATTTTCTTCTTCTTCCTTCTTCCTCATTTTTTTCCTGCTGTTTCGTCTCTCTCTCTCGACGGCTCTCTCTGTTCTCTCTCTCTCTCGCAGCAAACCTGCTCTCTCAACCTTCCTTCTCGCACCGGTCACTATGGAACTATCTCTTCATGTCAATTCTGGTAGGAATTTTTGTTTAGGGTACATTTTTTTTTCCAGCTTTTGTATTTTTTTTTTGTGTTAAGGTTATAATGTTGTTGAGCCATTTGTGTTATTAATTATATTTTTTTGAATGTTTAATATGTGTTATGCATGGTGAAAGTGAGGTTAATGGTTGAAATGTTTGTAGGATTTGGTTGTAGGATTTGGTTGGTGAATTGGTGCCCTCTATGTGTTTGATGAAATACTTGTAAGATGGTAAATTGGTGCACTCTAAGTGTTTGATGAAATGGTTGTAGGATTGAGTTGATAAATTGAAAATAATGAGACTTATATGTTTGTAATGTAATATATAATGAATGTACATTCGTTATAGAAATTTTGGAAATGACTATATTCTCATTTTATAGTAACATTTAACGAGATTTGCTGTGTTTAATACCCTTTTAAAGATTAAAGGGTATCGACTTAGGATTTACATTGTGATGAATTATATGTTAGTAATATAATATATAACGAATTTACATTGTGATGAATTCCTTGAATTGTTAAGATATCTTGAAGACATGTTATGTTGTGTTTTAGTTTCCAAAAGTTGGGTAATTTTAGAGATTTAAGGACCAGTTATGTAGCCTTATTGATGATAAAAAAGGTTTAAGGAAAAGATTTAGAAAAAGAAAACTGTTGGGTTTTGTTTGGTTGGCCGTGCTGTTGTGATTGTTGAGGTTGTGAGATGTGTTTTACATGCTGAATTTGTGGTTATTTTCAGAGTTTTAAAACCAAGAGAAAATTACCCCATACACAACTATATTATTTCTTATTTTCCAAATTACGAATTCAAAAAATGTATTCCAATTAAATGATAATCCATTCATAATCACGAGTTTTTAAACGTTTTTATTCCAGAAATGACTCTTTGACTTTCATTTGAATTAAAAAGGTAACTAAACCTTTAGAAGGTAAATGAGATATTATTGCTTCTCAAAATCTATTCTCCCAAAACATGTCATTCTCACCGGCACCGTTCAAATTTGTTGAAATTATGCCAATTGGGTATAAGTTTGTGGCAATCTCTTGAAACTATGTATTTTTAAGTTTGTTGAAATCTCTTGAAAATGAGTATTTTTTTATTATTATTATTTTTCCCCTTCTATTTTTTCATAAATTCCGATATGTTGATTATGTTGGTTGCGGAAGTTGGTAAAATTTATTTCTCCTATTTGTAGGTATGAGTTTGAAGAATTTATATATATTCATAATTTGGATATCATCAACTTCTATAAGAATTTTATAAGTAGTATATTACAAGTTTAAAATTTATTTTATTATTTTGTTTCTCTACTGTTTAATTAGGGTCTATTGATATTCCATTGATAAAATTTTATCAATCATGAATGTGATGACATACAGTTTATTTAAAGTTTATACATACGAAATTTAACGGTTAATATTTGACCTTTTAAGAATAACTAGACAAACTTCCTCTCCCTATGGTCTTTTGTGTATTATATAAACAATAAATAAACTTAGTTTAACTTTTTTTATATTTCATTTCATAATAGAAGTATTTTTTGAACAACTTATATAAAAAACATGAACAATTTATATTTTCAAACGGTTCTGAAAAATAAAATTTTAGAAAGTTTATCTACAATTGCACTAAATATGATAGTATTTTGGATTCAATTCGTTTTGGGGTTTTTTTTATTAGGAAGTTCCACAATGACCATTGTGGGAGTGATTGGAGAGAGAAGATATTGATTGAATGTGTTATGTTTGTGGGAAACAAATTTTTGAAAATAATAAAAATGTCAATTAAAAAAACCTATCGTAAAAGTGTTATTTCTAAAACATGATGTGTATATTTCCGTACTTTAGCCTAAAACCAATCCTTAAAGCCTTGTATGCTTGGTTTGATGCTTCAGAAAAAAGTAGAAAAGAAAAGTGTTGGTTATGATTTTTGTTTGGCCCCATTTGTTACATGTTATTTTGTTTGCAACTCTCATGTTGTTACTCATTATGTGGCTGAGTAGAGTATTCAAATAGTTCCTTCGTCATTGATTTCTTTGTAGAGTATCTCTTTGTGCTTTGTTTGGTACTTAAATGTCCAGGTGAATATGGCCTTGTTATTTTGTTTGCAACTCTCATGTTGTTGGCTATTGCACTCATCAAAAACTCATAGGTCAAATACACGTTAGGTCGTATTTTGTAAGTAAAGTAGCATTATACTGCGAATGCATCGAGCTCCTCAGTTATAGTATCGTAATATTTATAACGAAACTCATTTTATGAGATAACGATACTTGTTTCGTTTTAGAAATTGATAGAATGCATTAAAAATTGAAGAAGAAAAATGAGTTTATTTGTTATATGTTAATTGAAGAAGAAGAATGATGTTGAAGAAGAATTTTTTGGAAGAAGAATGAGTTTATTTGTTATGTGTTAATTGAAGAAAAATGAGTTTATTTTCTTTAAATGAGTTGTCTTTGTTCTCTTCTTTTAGGAACGGAAATGGAGTTAGCGTACGATATACCTTCGTCATGCTCAGGAGTCGTGACCAATAGGTGCGACCTCAAGGTTGCCAATCATGTATTGGAGAAGCTAGATGATGCACATAAAGCTCTATTTGTGCAATCATGCTTCCGGCCACTAGTGCACATTCCCAATTTGAAATTGGCGTCTCAAATAATCCACCACCTTCTTCAAAGGACTTTGAAATCATCCGAGAACGAAAAAGACGCTGTCTGGTTCAAATTTGGAGAAAAAAAAAGCTAGATTCGGGTTACATGAATTTTCTCTTGTAAGCGGATTAAAGATGGTGCATGATGTGGATTCGTACGAGGTCCCGGAAAGAAGTAGTTCGCTTTTGCATTTATTCAAAGGGAAGCGAGGGAAGCTCAAGAGTTGCTCAAGAAATTTGATGATTTGGTAAAGAAGAAGGGAGATGCAGATTTGATATACAAATTGGGGCTTCTCACGGTCCTGGAGCATGTAGTTTTGTCTAACGAGTGCCGGACTCTTGTGGATGAAAAATGGTTTCATCTCGTTGAAAATTTGGAGGAGTTCAATCGCTATCCTTGGGGGAACTTGTCATACGAGTACACCGTAAAGTTGTTCAAGCGGAAGAGGTTTGATAGTATAAAAAATTCAGAGATGAAGTATTCTTTGCATGGATTTCCCCTAGCTATCATGGTATTTTTCATATAAATATATATTTATACACTTTTTTATTTATTTATGTTAATTGTATTCTTAATTTTTTTTTTGGTTGTTTGCTAATTAGGTTTGGGCATTTGAGGCACTGCCTGAGCTTGGAAGAAAATTTGCTGAAACTTGTGGTGTCGGTGGCAGTCATCCGAGAATTTTGTCTTGGAAAATGACAAAACAGTGGCGAAGCGAGCAACTTAGTACGTTTTTCAACACGTCGGAGGTAATTTTTGTTATGGATAATTCATCTTATTTATTCTTATAGTTTTGAAAAAACTAATTATACTATAATCAGGTTAAAGTTCGACGAACATTACAACCTTCAAGGGATGAAGTTCAAAGTTCATACTTGAAGGAATTCCGTATTGTCCCTGAAGATGAGGAAGAAGAAGAAGAAGAAGGAGAAGAAGAAGAAGAAGAAAATGAGGATGAGGATGATGAGGAAGAGGAGGAAGAGGAAGAGGAAGAGGAAGAGGAAAAAAATGATGCATCTCAGTCTGATCCACCACAACAGCAAGTTTTTGGTGCTGAAGAGATTTCAGCTATAGTCAAGGAGGTTGTGAAGGATGAGATGAGATTATTTTCTGAGCAAATGGAAATGAAGATGGACAAGTTTTCTGAGCGAATGGATGTGAAGATGGACAAGTTTTTAGAGCGAATAAAAGATTTAGTTTTTCAATCAAAAGATAGTCCATCTACCCGTGCTACTTATGACGGGACAAATGTTGATACGGAGACCGCTCGAACAGTAGATGGTGTTGAAGGTATTCTTTTAAAATAGATACATCATATTAATGTTATTAATCGAGTAGTAAAAAAATAAATAGAACAAGTTCTTGTAATATTTTTTTTACATAAAGATATATTTTAAAACAAATGCAACATATTGTTGAATTACATAATTTTTTTGTTTTCTTTTGCAGACACGATCAATTCACCATCTCCCATGCCCGAGAAAGAAAAGGTGGGAGTTCATGATGACGTGGGCTTAGAGATGAGGGCAAAAGATAAAGTTGTCTTGGTCGAAGACAAATTTTCTGAGGAGGCTGTCTCAGCAAAGAAGAATGAACATGGATTGGATACCAGTATGTAAAATGTAATTGTAATTATACGTAATTTGATAGTTTATTCTTTCTAATAAATGAGTATTGATTGTTTTCTTGCCTATTGTAGGTGTTGTGACCGACCCGTCATCAACGATGTTCCAAGAACGACATTTGGAGATCGAGGAAACCGATGAAGATGATGCACTCGAGTCTCCTAAGGGAAGAGGCCACCGGAAGAAAAGAAAGGCCGTCATCCTACTTACTCCGTGGAGGAATCCCGGAAAAAGACAAAAAATTTTAAATGTGACGGAGTACGACCCTCATAGGACATTGGATGAAGCTAAACTTGAGGATTTAAGGCAGTGGTTGGCGAACTTCCCAGAAAGGTATGTATTTGTGTTAAGTTAATTGTGGGCTATCTCATTCTAATATATAAGGTTGTCTGTCTTTGTTTAATTTACCCATTTTTAATGTAGTGATGAAATTGACGTAGCTTGGGGTAAGGGTAGCGCAGGGAAAAAAATTTTTAATGACTTTTTGGACGATAAATGGCTTTGTAGTGAGGTAAAGTATTTAATTTTTTTTTTCGAGATTTTACTCTCTAAACATGACATTTACTAATCTAATAAACATTATATACTCTTAGCATGTAGATGCAGCTCTTTTTCACATGAGAGGTCGGGCTATAGAGTACCCTCTCTTGTTTAGACAAGATTGTGTCATGTTGGACCCGCATTTTGTGTCTTATATAAGAATGTTCTTTAAAGACGCGTCAAAAGTTGAAAGCTTTGATAGGACAAATTTTCCAAAGGCATTAGTTAAGTACGCCGAAGGGAAACTACCCACTCATGCAAGGCCGTGGACTAGTTGTACCAAATTGTATGTTCCTTTTTGTAATGTGAATAATGAACATTGGGTAGCACTCGACATTGATCTCTCCAAAAGATGCATTGATGCATATGATAGTTCAACGAGTGTCATGCGGAAGCGACAATTTGAAACGGAATTGGAGCCCATTCGAGTTGTCATACCTATGCTAATGAGGATGTTGAATGCTACCTACAGTGCAGAAAAATTTGATTTGAAACGATTACCATGTCCTAGCCAAGCAAATGGGTATGTATGACATATATTTTCATCATATCATGATTATAAATGTATTATCAAACTTGGTAAACTAATAGATATTGTACATTTATATTACAGGTTTGACTGTGGGATGTTTACAATCAAGTTCATCGAGTTTTTGCATGCTGGGAAGGATGTTAAAGGCGTAGAGCAAAAAATGATTCCCTCTTGGCGTATCAAACTAGCAGCTGAAATTTTTGCACAGCATTTTGATCCTTAATTTGTTTTAGGAGTTGAATATTCAATGGCTTGTAGGGATGTTTTGGATATCACATTTTGACTGTTGTATTATTTTTTATGTGTTTTTCAGTGCAATGAAACGAGTTGTTAAGTTTTGAAGTTGTTTTTGACTGGTGTATTGTTATTTCACGTATTTGCCTAATGTATTACCAGCATTTAATTCACCTAATATATTTCTTGAACAGCTATTATAGAAATTTTGGAATGACTGTAGTCACGGGATAATGCATTATATAATAGAAGTAGTACATTATTATAGCTACAATTTCACTCCTGTAGATAAAAAATACATTACAATTTGAATGTACCTTCTTTATAATAGCATTTTATCAGCCCTTCGCAACCCGATTGAAGGAGTTCGATGCTGAGATCCCGGAATTAAGCCGAGGAACCTTGTATTAATGTTTTTTTAATTGTTTAAAAAAGAAATTATATAAAATCCAGAGTCGCGGCCACGGAGATCGTCACGCCCGCGACATTCTGGCAAGGGTTCTGTCCCCTTCCCTGTCGCGCCCGCGGCGGTCGTCGCGCCAGCGACATACTGGCGAGGGTTCTGTCCCCTTCAGTGTCGCGCCCGCGTTGCCAGTCGCGCCCGCGTTGCCAGTCGCGCCCGCGACATCCTGGGAAGGGTTCTGTCCCCTTCAGTGTCGCGCCCGCGGTGCCAGTCGCGCCCGCGACATCCTGGGAAGGGTTCTGTCCCCTTTAGTGTCTCGCCCACGGTGATCGTCACGCCCGCTACAGGAAATATCAAGCTGCAGAAGCTCGCGACGGTTGTCCCGGGCGCGACGATCAGGCTGTCGCGGTCTTTTTTTTTTATTTCATTAAATTTTTTTTTTATCGATTTTAGGTCGCGACGAAACTTATTTTGAGAAATAACGATACTTGTTTTCTTTCAGAAATGGAAAGATCATGAAGAATCGTTGTATTTGATTGAAAAATAACCATAACGAATTTACATTCGTTATGGTGTATTCAATAACGAATGTACATTCGTTATGATTATTTTGCGATCTAAACACAAACCAAATCATGAATGAAATCCACATTGCAATAAAATAAAGAAAACTGAAAATCCAAATGTCGAATCCAAAAGACAATCCAAATCCATAAGAAAATACAAATCCAAAAAAGACAAACTAAATCCATTAGTCAAACCAAATCCAAAAGATAAAACTGATAATTATGAAGTCTGGAATAAAAGTCTTTGCCTAAAAACAACGCACTGTCACTGTGCATCCGTTGCATCCGATGTTGGAGGTGGAGGTGGAGGTGGAGGTGGAGGTTGAGGTGGAGGGTAGGGTAGGCTGCGGCCTGAACTCAAGCGAACGTCCCATTGCTTGAACTGGTCGCCCCATTGTTTCCACTGATCAAATTGCCGAGACTCCCATTGGGTCCAACGTTCATCGATCCTCTTGTTGTGCTCCTCCCAACGCCTATCATTATGCTCAATGAAGGTATCGAGCCTCTTGTTGTGCTCCTCCCAACGCCTATCATTATGCGCAATGAAGTTATCGAACCAAGCGGGGTCTTGTTGAGATAGCGCATCCGGAGCGCCCGCGTCAACTGGTGGAGGGAGGAAATAGTCCATCGGGTTGGTCTGTGTTTCATCGTCCTCTGCCTCGTCCTCGGTATCAGGTGGTGGCTGAGAGGAACTACCTACTTCGGACGATTTTTTCAGCTCTGCCATATATGCCTTGTAGCAACATCGAAATTTGTAATCAATGATCGTGGTGCTGTTTGAAGCGAGCTCGGCTTTCGTCAAATCCCACAACACGATCTTCTTCGGTTGAAGCGGCACTTCATCAATTTGAACTTTGAAGTGCTTAACGAGTGCGGTGACGACATTGGCCAATCTCGAAGGGCGATTGGCGAAGATTCTCGTTTCCCGGAGTGTCTCTTTAACAAATGCAGTAATGCATATGGGCTTCTTTGCACACATTGCCGACAAGAGATAAACTTCTTTCTCGCTAACCTTGTTGGAGTCTTTCTTGCCAAAAACATTGTAGCACAGAAATTTATGTACCACTGCAATGGCCACATGTTTTATTAGCCCATTTGATGGGCCCTTTACTTTGAATTTGTGGCATGGAGAGAGAACGGCCCAATGCTTGTGTACGTCAAAATCACCGAGTACTTGGCGAGACCCCGTCGTGCGGAAACCAAAGACCTCATGCATGATCTTGTTATCAACCTTGTATTCTTCCCCTTTCATCCGAAAAGTGGATGACTTGCCTTTGTCTTGTGGTACAAATGTGGTAAAGAATTCAACCGATAGTTCCTCGCATGCCACATTGTCCATGGCTTTGTACTTCTCAAGATTGAGTGCCTTCAAGTATTTCCTCACGTCATCCGAGATTTTTAATGAGTCTAGCAACTCTTAATCAAGTGTCCTTGGGATCCGGCATTTCATCTTCATGAGGCGTTTGTACAAGTGCACCTCATCTTGAGAGAAAACTGGGAATGGAATTCCGTGCTTTTGAGCTAAAGTTTGAGTTTCGGTGTCCGAGTTTGAGTTGCTATTGTTCGAGTCCGGTGAAGAAGGCGGGTCTCGTAATTGCTTTTCTTTTGCCTTGGTTGTTTCCTTTGGAGGGAGCTTTTGATGACGAAGCCTTTTCCATGATCTGTTATTGAATACTCTCGAAGGAAGTAAGTGGATGCAAGCGATATAGCCCTCTTACCTAGTATTGACAATTTCTCGAACATCTTGTGTGCGCAATAATGTGTTTGAAAATTGTGAAAAAGGAAGAGAGGTAGATTCATCAAACCACAAACAATTAATTTGTAACTATACTATTCAAGCAATTTGCGAGACCTTACAGTGTGTTGAAGTCGAGAGGACGATGTTTGTCGGAATGGCTTTTGGCAATTAGGGCTTACGAGAAGACAACCTTGCCGCAATAAAAGTTGCCGGAAAGAGGGAGTGTCCTCGCCGGTCGGAAACAGGTGGTGTTGTCGCCGGAGATTGGAGATGAAAGGAACGATTTTCTCGAGCGGAGCGGTTTTTCTTTCTTTTTTTTTTCTTCTCTTAAGAGTTGGTTTTGAAAAATGAATGCGGGGAAAGAACGGGCGGGGGCGGGGCGTTTATTTATAGGGTTTAGGGTCCAGGGCGCGACAGAGATCGCGGGCGTGACAACCGCGCTTCTAGGTCGTCGCGTGCGCTACACTATGTCGCGGGCGCGACACCATATATGGTGCCACAGAACCGCGCGACGCCCAGTCACGCCCGCGATGCAGAGGCTGTCGCGGGCTAGTTAATTTTTTTTGTTTTTTTGGTTTTCTTTTTTACATTTGTTTAAAAATCAATATAATGTTACTCGCTTTAATTCCCGGATCTCAACATCGAACTCCTTCGTTTACAACGAGTGTAATATCTTTGTGATTGATTATATGTCGAGTTTTGGGTGTTTTTGATCGAAAATGTACGTAACGAATGTACATTCTTTATAACGAAAGTACACTCGTTATGGTTCATTTTCGATCAAAAACACCCAAAACTCGACATCTCATCCATCACAACGATATTACACTCTTTGTGGGTACAATTCTACTAATTTTTCAGGTAAAATAACGAATTCCCAAAGATTCATCCAACCATTTTCCAAGAACACAAAAAAAAAGAGAAGGATATTTATGTGTATTTCCATTTCGTTATGAGTATTTCCACGCTCGAACGGGTCCAAACTATCGTTCAAAGTTGATGTATGACCAGGAACAATGGTTTACACGTGATTCCATAAAAAAAAACCAAAAACGGGAGCACTTTCGTTGCGGTTTGAAACATAACGAATGTACATTTGTTATAACGAATGTACACTCGTTATGGTTCATTTTCGATCAAAAACACCCAAAACTCGACATATAATCCATCACAACGATATTACACTCTTTGTGGGTACAATTCTACTAATGTTTCAGGTAAAATAACGAATTCCCAAAGATTCATCCAACCATTTTCCAAGAACACAAAAAAAAAGAGAAGGATATTTATGTGTATTTCCATTTCGTTATGAGTATTTCCACGCTCGAACGGGTCCAAACTATCGTTCAAAGTTGATGTATGACCAGGAACAATGGTTTACACGTGATTCCATAAAAAAAACCAAAAACGGGAGCACTTTCGTTGCGGTTTGAAACATAACGAATGTACATTCGTTATAACGAATGTACACTCGTTATGGTTCATTTTCGATCAAAAACACCCAAAACTCGACATATAATCCATCACAACGATATTACACTCTTTGTGGGTACAATTCTACTAATTTTTCAGGTAAAATAACGAATTCCCAAAGATTCATCCAACCATTTTCCAAGAACACAAAAAAAAAAAGAAGGATATTTATGTGTATTTCCATTTCGTTATGAGTATTTCCACGCTCGAACGGGTCCAAACTATCGTTCAAAGTTGATGTATGACCAGGAACAATGGTTTACACGTGATTCCATAAAAAAAACCAAAAACGGGAGCACTTTCGTTGCGGTTTGAAACATAACGAATGTACATTCGTTATAACGAATGTACACTCGTTATGGTTCATTTTCGATCAAAAACACCCAAAACTCGACATATAATCCATCACAACGATATTACACTCTTTGTGGGTACAATTCTACTAATTTTTCAGGTAAAATAACGAATTCCCAAAGATTCATCCAACCATTTTCCAAGAACACAAAAAAAAAAAAGAAGGATATTTATGTGTATTTCCATTTCGTTATGAGTATTTCCACGCTCGAACGGGTCCAAACTATCGTTCAAAGTTGATGTATGACCAGGAACAATGGTTTACACGTGATTCCATAAAAAAAACCAAAAACGGGAGCACTTTCGTTGCGGTTTGAAACATAACGAATGTACATTCGTTATAACGAATGTACACTCGTTATGGTTCATTTTCGATCAAAAACACCCAAAACTCGACATATAATCCATCACAACGATATTACACTCTTTGTGGGTACAATTCTACTAATGTTTCAGGTAAAATAACGAATTCCCAAAGATTCATCCAACCATTTTCCAAGAACACAAAAAAAAAAAAGAGAAGGATATTTATGTGTATTTCCATTTCGTTATGAGTATTTCCACGCTCGAACGGGTCCAAACTATCGTTCAAAGTTGATGTATGACCAGGAACAATGGTTTACACGTGATTCCATAAAAAAAAAACGGGAGCACTTTCGTTGCGGTTTGAAACATAACGAATGTACATTCGGTATAACGAATGTACACTCGTTATGGTTCATTTTCGATCAAAAACACCCAAAACTCGACATATAATCCATCACAACGATATTACACTCTTTGTGGGTACAACTCTACTAATTTTTCATGTAAAATAACGAATTCACAAAGATTTTACATCATCTTTCCATTTTTCAAAAAAAAAAAGAAAGAACAAGTATTGTTATTTTAAAAAATAGTTTCGTTGTGAGTGTTTCGACGCTCTAAAAACTTCACACTATAGTTCCAATGACATGTAACATGAATATACAATCGTTATCAAGTAATTCGATCAAAAAAAGCCATGAAGAAGCGCGGTTGTTGTGGAAAAAACTTATAACGAATGTATATTCGTTATAACGAATGTACAGTCGTTATGGTTTTTTTTCCGACACAATCCAACTTAAACGATCGTGCATTCGTCACTTAATACATTATAAAAATATTAAACTCGTCATAGGTCTATTTTTAGTCATTTTTAGTGTAAAATAACGAATAAACAACTATTCTACATTATCTATCCGTTTTTCAAAAAATAACTAAAAAACGCCCGCGACAACCTGTCTGTCGCGCCCGGGACAGGCCGTCGCGAGCTTCTGCCGCTCCATATTTCGTGTCGCGCCCGCGACAAGCATCGCGCCCGCGACATCCTGGACAGCTGTCTGTCCAAAAAAGAAAAGCAGAGTGTCGCGCCCGCGACAACATGGTAAGCTCTCTGCCCAACAGATCTTAACCTTCAGTGTCGCTCCCGTGATAACTATCGCGCCCGCGATAGGGATAACGATGATACCTTCGTTATTTCATGCTTGATAACGACTGTACTTTCGTTTTTAGCCTTTTTAATGTACTACTACTATATAATACTATAAAACAAGACTATAATCGTTTGTTTCCAAATTGCCTATAACAATTGTTCAATAAGTACATTAGGTGAATTAATTACCCTTAATATTTTCAACAATCACTACATTGGATACACATAAAAAATTAAACACAAGACAAAATATAATTTCAAACTTTAGCAACTCACTTCAATGAATTGGAGAAGACATCAAAAACAACAAACAACAAGTTAAAACACTATATGGTCGAGTAAAAACACTATACAAAAAGATTAAAAAGTCAAAAGCAATACACTAATCAAAATATAACTTCAAGTTGCTTCATTGAGGTTTAGTAGTAGTTGCTTCATTAAAAAGTCAAAAAGTCAAAAGCAATACACTAGTCAAAAGCAATACACCTTCCACGATTATGGCCGACTTTGGAACACCTACTACATTTACGAATTTGGCGAGGTTTAGTAGTAGTTGATTTTCTTCGAGCCTCACCTGCCGATTTTTTCCTTTCGAATGTAGGTCTGCCCCTTGGACGTCGTGATGGTGGCGGCAACACAATTCTTGACATAATTTCTTCTGGAACCATCCAATCGGTTTCATTGGGCAAAGGATGAATGGGTTCAGAGTATGCCTCTCTCCAAGCAGAGCTCGAATACATTAAAGTGCAGAAATTGTAGCCGTTGTTGTTCAAATTTTTTATTGCGGCAATGGCATGCGAACATGGAAAATGATCCATTTGAAACTTTCGACATGAGCATGACATTTGGTCGAGATCAACGACATGTCTTCCACCAACTTGCAAAATCATTGGTGTTACATGCAACACTTGTAGTCCGTTGGACTCGTCGTATCTATTCCGCATTTTCTCCTCAAATGGTGGGGTAAGAAAGCTACTGCAATTTGTAGAGGCAAGATTTCTTTCGTGGAACCACTTTTGCAGTATCGCCCTGATATGTTCAATTAGGCCAAGGATAGGAAATTCTCGAGCACGCTTCAACACAGAGGTCAACGATTCAGCATTGTTTGTTGTCATTATGTTGAAACGAGTTGCTCTAAAATGTGCTCTGGCCCAACGGGACAAATCAGCTTTCTCTAGGTATGTCCGCATTAGCTGATTATTATTGCATAATGCTGCCATGTTGGATTCGAAATCAGGTATCGTGTATGCTTCGGCTGTTGCCCAAAAGAATGCATCCAATTCCAACCTTGGAAACTCAGATTTTAAGTTTCTCAGCAAGTGATAGTTACACCATCCATGGTGTGCATGTTCAAACACTGTATTAAAAGCACCAGGAATACTTGTTCCCCTATTCGAAACTATAACAAGATCGGGAGAATCGCCTGTTATATCTTTCAACTTTTCAAAGAAGAAAGTCCAAGAAAGATGGTTCTCAGAGTCTACTATTGCCCAAGCAAGTGGATAAATTTGAAGATTTGCATCTTGACATGTTGCAATGAGCAAAGTACCACGATATCTCCCGGTCAAGAATGTACCATCCACAGATATTACTCTTCTGATGGAAGAGTGGAATCCACGAATGCACGGTCCCAAAGCCATGAAAAAATATTTAAAATGGCCATCCACACTTGTCTCTATGAAAGTGACCGTCCCAGGGTTTTTTTGCTCCAAAACGTAACAATATTGGGGGAGCTTTGCGTAACTTTCTTCTGGGCAACCTCGAATGAGACCAAATCCATAATGCTTTGCCATAAATGCTTTTGTATAGCTGATAGTTATCCCGAACTTCTCTTGGACATCAAAAATAATATCATTCGGTTTATAAATCCGATTGACATCTTTATACTTTTCGAAAATGTGCTTCCCAATCAACTTATACGTTGCATGCCTGTGATCTTTACGGCGCACACTCATAGAGCAAGTGTGATTACCAACATATTTACGTACTACAAAAATTTCACCACTTTCTATCTTCACCGCTCTCAAACGCCAAGGACAA